CACGGTTTCAAGGGGACCTTTTATTATTATTATTTTTTTATGGCGATGAGTGAATAAAAACGAGAGTTACCTGGGAAAAAGCGATGTTGCAGATTAATTTCGGGTTGTGTGACGCATGCGTCGGGTTCCGCGGGATCGATAACAGGTGCGACATTATAACGTACCTTTTTCACCTGATAGTCAGCTAGATAACTCAGTCGGCTCAGACGAGAACCTCATCGTGAGTACAGTTTGCGGAAAAAACTGTGCAGTGGTGTCCCACTTAATGGACTTTTTATACAGACCAGTGAGGAGTCCGTTGTCCACAACGTCAACCAAATGAATTATAGGTCGTGTTTTGACGCTATAAGAAAACTACTGTAATATATTGCGATTTTTTCGAGTCCCCGCAAAAACAGCGAAGCCCCAATGCTTCAGAAAATTTAGTAGGAACACATTGAAAATCAGTACGAATATTAAACATTAAACTTGAATGTATTGTATAAAGAAATTGAGTTCTATGAGTATAATCCGAACCTTCTCCTCCACAATGTGCAAAAGCAGTGCTGAATCCTCTGCAAATTTAATTTGTATTTCAGTCTTAATAAATAAATGCCAACTTTTCCATTTGTGAAAAAAGATCAAGGTTTTCCAGGTATGGGACTACAGGTAACAAAATAATCTTAAAGTAAGATAAAATTAAATAAAATAACGCAAGGGAACACAGTTTTAACACTGTCTAAAAAAATAGAAAGAACCTTTTTCCCGCTTGAAAAAAATTGCTCGTCAGCCAGCAGCAGCTTTTATTTTTTCGAAAACCAAAAACTTTTCCGTACTGTCCATCATCCGAAGCAGGGTCCATTATCCGAAGCGAAAATCCGCTCCACGCTGCGTCCATTATTCGAGGTACAATAAAATATCCTTTTTGGGACCATCGAAATAGCTTCGTTATTGTACAGTAAAGAAAAATTCGCTGTAAAGTAACTCATTCAACATTAAGGCTAATACCGTATTATTGGCAAGAAAAAACCATTTCCTCGTAATAAATTTTTCGTTGTACAGAGATTTTATTGCATCACTGCGATACTCGAGTTAAAAGTCCCCTTGAGTAATTTCACCATCGCTCACGTCAACATACTCCCCTCCAGCACATTCCTGTGATTCAATCTCAAAAGTCTGCACTCGCTCATTCACCCCAGAAATTCCCGGCCATGAATCACGCGATTCACGCGAATTCTCTGTCTCTTCGTCAGTCAGTTAGTCAGACTCAGTCAGCATCGCACACAACTGAGTTATTCCAGCGCGCTAGTAAACAGTGATTGTGTTCTGGGTAAAAAAAATACTGTACTGTAAAACCCCTCTTTTTATTTCGTGCTTGGAGAATATTTTAGTGACATACGATAGCTTGGTATCAGCATATTCCGTACATTGTTCAGACTGCAACGAAATGCGCGCAACATTCCGAGGAAATCAGAGCAGAAAACGCGGGTCGGTGAAACGAAATCCTCTCGTCGTCGAACTTCGTCAAATAAAACAGAAAAATATGAAAAGAAAATGCATTTTCTGTGTGTGACGGAATTTATTTTTAAATGATGGCTGCAGGTTGTGAAATATCGAAATACTATAACCAGTTGTGATATCCAGGAATGGAAAAAGTTGCGAAATTATTATTCGCGCAAATAAATAAAACTTGTAAGCGCGTTTTTCTGAAGAAAAAAAATCGCGTTTATTCAAGTGATTTTTCAAATTTTTTGGATCTGACATCAATCAGCAGTGTCAAACGTGATCTATATTCTCTATTTTGCATTCAGAAAAAATGAACTTGACAATTTCAATGCTATAGCAAAATCACAGCGGCATTTTGCTGAAGTTTTTCCCTCGACTGATATTTCCAAGTGAAACGTTTAAAAAATTTGATAAGAAGTATTGTCCTATATATTTTATTCAAATAAACTAGGTTCGTTTTTGGGCATCAAAATTCTTTTGGATAGTGTTTTTAAAGTTAGTCCACGCTCTTTTATTTAAATTTTCAGAAGCTTTCTTCGTCTACCTACATGTAAATTATTTCCATTTTTTACAAGAAAATGATTCATTTCTTAGAATGGCAAGAAGAAAAAAATCATTGCAGTCCTTGTGACACATGACCTTCCGAAAACCACGAATGCTATGAATACTTTCTTGTCTGATAAGCCCCAAAATTTTCCAATTCATTCAACTGAACCATTTCGGGGCATGAGTAATCGATTTTATGCTCGCCGTCCAAAATGTTCTTATCTTATCGCAATGAACACTTACATTCTTTACCCTCCTGCAGGAAAATTATTTGTGAACCCATGCACTTCAGTTGTTGGTTCAGAGTGTTGGACCTTTTTTTTTGTGAGGGGTTTATTTCGAAAAACCGTTTTTCTGAGTGGTCATTTCAAAATCATTTGTTCACCTTATTTTCTCTGCGAAACTGAATCATTCCCAGCATTTGAGATTATGTCAGAAATTGAAGAAAATTATTAATCAGAGATTTATTCGCAATCAGAAAATTAATGAAGAATTTCCGCAGCCAAACAACAAATGAAACAAGGCAATGTCAGAACTGCTTTAAAACCATGAGAGTTTTGGGAGGTTAGGAACAATGGTTTCCATATTTGAATTGAATTGAACAGCAAGCTTTATTTTCTGCTTTTCAGCATTCACAAAATTAAAACAATGTCCCCTCCCCACCCACATTTATCCAAACACATTCCATCACATCAGAATGGAAAACAGTGAAATAAGCATCCCAAAATGTAAAATTGCACAACTAATGTAAATACACACACTTTCTTCCCTTCCCTCTGATAACAAAAACAAAATGTCAGTAATAGAAATTGCAGCATATGGCAATTACTGAACCCAAATTAAAGCACAAGGTGTTCAGCCTGCTCCCAGATAAGGTTAAGTTGTTTGAAAAAATTGGAGCAAATCTTTATGAGAAATCTTACATAATTAACAGTCAATTTTAGTCCTCTAAGATTTTTGAAAGAAGCTTTTCATTGAATTTTAGGAGTCCCAAACATTTTTCTAGCTCATTTCTGTAGCTGTGGAATGGTGGACATAGGAAAATAAGGTACTCGGATGATGCATTAACACTTTTAATTTACTGTATACTAAATATATAAAGTACCGTATGATGCAAATTCTCTTCACAATATTTATTTAATTAATGCATACAGTATTTATTTAATTAACTTGTATTCAAATGCGAGTACTGGTCAGTCACTCAAATGCACTCGCACCTAAAAAATGCGAACATAAATTTCAAAAATGTTAAAATAAAATATTACTGTAGATACGCAAAATTTCTGCAAATCTTATTTTGAGGTCGCTTTTTAATTTCATTGCAGGAAGCGGTGGGGCAAAAATGTTTTTGAAAAAACTCTTTCTGTTGCTGTGGAAAAATTGGCTGATTCGATGGCGGCACCCGGTGCTTTTCTTCGTGGAAATAATAGCAGTAGCCCTATTTTTTGGCCTATTGCTGATTGTCAAAATCCAACTGGCATCATCATCCGGCGACGTTTTGGGCTCGGACACGGAAATATTTGCTCCTTCGCTGGAAAGAGGAATTCTTGGTGCCTTAACTGGGACTTGGACTGAACCTCCAGTAATTATGTACGCTCCGAACAATACGGAGACTCGTGAAATCATGGAAAATGTACTCGAAATGATCGTTCCCAGTACCCGAGAAGGTGAGCTAGTGGTTGAGATTTGTACTGCACACAGAAAAATCCTTGATTATATCCGGACATCAGAATTTTTCACTGAAGTATACGCCTTTGATTTTCCGCTGCGGCAAAATTCAGATTCATAAAGATGAAAAATAAAATAGCGGTCATAAATTTGAATTCAAGTTGCTTTTCCCGCCCGTTTTTGGATAAAATTAAATCTGAGGAAATTTATTTTAAATCAAGATCAACAGAATTAATGCTTTTGCTACAATTTTCTTGTTATTCACTGGACACTTTTTAAAGTTGCGTGGTAAAGTTTATTTTATCATCCTGGTTTATACGTACTTCGAAAATTGTGTAACTGTCGGTAATATATTTTTTCCAAGAGAAATATGCCAATTTTTGTAATTTCTCCAAAGATATTCACCAGGCATCTGAATTTCCTCCCGCGAAACCTTTTTATTTTATTTTTCTTTCTCACTATTATAGCAGGACCTTTGGAAACAAGGGCATTTGCATCCGAAAAGGAATTACTGAGAGCAGTCGATTCCTTGGGACTGATATCTGGGTTCCTTTCACTGAGAGGAGCGATAGTTTTCACTTCAACAACTGGAAACTCTTTTTCTTACAAAGTTCGCATCAAGAACTTTCAGATTCCGACTGAGTTTTTGTTTTCACCCGTTTCGCTTCCTGGTGCTGGGGACACGTGTGAGTATCAGTTCTTTCTTAGTATATGGATCAACTTTCAGAATGTGAGAAGCATTTTTGTTGGGTGAAAGAAAATAAAAATTACAGGTAATATTAATTGGTGATATTTTGGGCATGAAATTGCTTCTTTAACTAGTCGACAATATGTTTATCTTGGAGGCAAGGGTTCATTTCCCAAATATGTCTTCCACTTCATTTTAAAACACATCACTTCACATTTTTATTGCTTTTCTCTAGTAGAAATAGCCAAAATAAGGCACCCAAAAATTCAATTTATGGAGATTCCAAGATGGAAAGCCTTTGAGTTGGTGAGATTTTCAATGTGTTTCATGTAAAGGAATCAAGGCAGGGACTTCAAAAATTTTGAAAAAATAGGGAGGTATTTGACTTATGGAGGTTTGAGTTATCAATGTTCAACTGTATACAGGTGGTGCCCTACAATTTGACCTCACCCATATTGCTGTGGGAAAGGGTAAAATTGTGAAGTGGTCAAATTGCAAGACAATGTCAAATTATATGTTTTCTACACAGAATTTGACATTTTGAGTCTCTCTATGAATGAATGAATGAATGAATGAACAGAAAACTTTATTTGCCGCTTTTCATCGTTCACAAGGTACAACCAAAACTCCCGCATCCAAACCCCCTCCTTACCCAACCCTACTCCCCCAAAATACCTTTAGTCACTTCAAATCATAAACCAATGACAAAAACAAAAGAGAACACACTCTAAAAAGTAAAAACTGGACATCCTACGCGTATGTTGCATACACCCACCCATCCCCAATATTGAAGACAAAGCAGCAGTAAAAGTTTATTTGAAGCACAAGGTCTTCAGCCTGTTTCTGTTTGAGTTTTAGTTCAATGAACAATTTAGAGAGAATCTTTGATGAGAAAAGGATGAGTCTCTCTACTGTTCAAAGTGTGGGGCAAGAGGTCAAATTGCAAGTCAACATCTGAGCAAAGTCAACCATGCAATTGCAAGATGGTCAAATTGCGGGATGTTGAATTGCAAGGTACCACCTGTAATAATATTATAAATGAAGGATGAAAACTCATGAAAATGCATCAGTTTGATGTAAAAAAAAATGCGTAACAGAAACTTTATTTTCCATTTCAGACTGGAACTATGATAGTTACGTGGCTCCATTGCAGTTGGTGGTGGATGCAGGCATCACAAAAATGCTTTGTTCCAGGGCAGCAATTCCAACAAATCTCTGCAAAATAAACCTAAATGCCACCTACGAAAATTGGTTTTCCAGGGATTCGGTTTTCCATCCTTTCGAGGCAAGGTTTCATATCACAGATATTTTTTCTTTTCTTTCGAAAACCTGTTTCCTCGAATCTCTGATTTTGATTTTGAAAACTCTTCCATTTTTTGGACAGATTCGAACGCAGGCGTTTCCGTATCCGGCTTACAGTGCGGCTTTGCAGGACTTCCTGTCATTTTTATTTGGATTAATGTTGCCACAGTTCACGGTTTTCGGTTTCCTGTTCTTAGTGCCTATCATTCATCTGGGGGTTGTTAAGGAGAAGCAAACAGGTGTCAAGGTGAGCAATCTCTGTCCAAAAAATTTAAATTGAATATTAAGACGATTTCTTAATTTTCGGTACTGTTTTTTCTATGATTAAATGTTTTCAATTTTTCGTCAATGCAGGATAAAAAACAGTTCTTATTTAAATAAATGTACACAGATGTTTCTGAAGCTTTTAAATTTCACCCAGCAGCACGTGAAGTATTAATGCAATATATGTATTTTGGTTCATGAGGTGTATGATCAAAAGAAGTTTTTTGTCTTTCAACAAATAAAATTGCTTAGTCTATAGATAAACATTCAGAAATTGGAAATATTTTTTCTGGTGTTATTTTAGCCGCATGATTCATGTATGCAGTACAGGTGGTACCTTGCTATTTGACCCTAATCTGGTGCCAAAATAGGGTTGAATTGCAAAGCTGTCAAATTGCAAGACACTCTGAAATTCAAAAATATCAGTACAAAAATGCAACAAAAAAAGTCGCCAAAGCAGGTCAAAGTGCAGGGCAATGTCAGATTGCAAATCAACCTCTCTGCAAATTTTACCGTCAAATTGCAGGACAGTCAAATTGCGAGAGGTTAAATTGCAAGGTACCACAGGTACTCAGATTTTACTTGCCAATTTTAAATCACGACAAAAAATTTGAAAGTGTGTCGAAACATGAAACCTTTGACAGCATTTTGACAAACAATTTAAAATAAATTATCCCGAAATCTCTAGATGCTGTAAATAAAGGTGAGAGCAATCAAAAGCAGGGATCATGGGGGAAATTTGGCAGCTCGTGGATTTTAATTGATTTAAACTCGCTTGATGTGTTGATTTTGTAAATTATGGCCAGTATGTAGAAGAAAATTATAAAGTTTGTCATCTGGTTTCTACTGAAAATCTTTATTTCAGGAGCTGATGAAGATGATGGGCATGAGCAGGGTCTTGTACTGGTCAAGTTGGCTGCTGAGCTGCATCGTGTCGTTAATTATCCCGATAACGATCGCGATAATTATCTGCGTGGCGCCGATTTCCTCAGACGGCGCCATCTATGGACACAGTGACGGACTTCTCATAGCTATTTTCTACATTCTATTCGCCTTGTCTTTCATCAGCTTCTCATTTTTCGTCACGACATTTTTTGACAGGCGTGAGTTTTT